CTTTCTCGATTACTTCTAACTTTTACTCTTATTTACTTCGTTTTTCCTAAAACTCGCTTATTCTTGTTCAGTCGAAGCAGCGAATCATTAGATGCTCTTTAATGATCTGAACTTGTCTTCGAGGGCCTTGGTACGTGGCCTTATATGTCAATTAGGCGGAGGAAAATAAACAACATTACAAAATTTGTTTTTCATCTTAATTTAATTTAAACTTAGTCTAAAGGTTATAAAAATTTCCCTATATTATAAACATTACATACGTGGTCCTTACGTATGCGATATGCAAACTCAACTTAAAAGATATTTATTAGGTAGATATTCATTACATTTGACTTAACAAATAATCCTTGGGAATGTGTAAAATATCCCACATTAGAAATTCTGATTGCATGCTTTTGTTTTGTTTTATTATTTTTATATTTATTTGTACAGCACCAAGCAACTGCAACGTTTGGGTAATTAAAACAACAACGATGAATAAACAGTTTTAAGTAAATTGGATTTAAAAAGGATTTGCTCTACAAAGAAGACAAATGTTCTTTCAAATTTTATTTTGGAGATTACGTATGTGATCTCTCTTCGTCACATTATCGTCAAGAAGTACGCCGTAAAGTCTTAATATGATTTATTTTTTTTATGTCTTAATTGGAAATAAAAAGTTTTAAAGGAATTTTATCTCCTGAAAACATTGGTATATTTTGTTTTGGTTACATTTAGTGATAATTTGTTTGCATTAAACCATTTGGAAAGATTTAACATATCTTTGTTTAACTTATTTAAGCGGAATATTTATATCATTGTGCGCAAAAATAGATTTGGGTCATCTGCAAATAAAAGTTATATAATCGAGTTCAGAAAAAGCTTTGCTTAAATTATTAATATAAATGAGAAATAGGAGTGGTTCCAATTTAGATCCATGAGAAACCCCACACGTTATATTCATATTGGTCGTTTTACCATCATTGCAAGAAAGTTATTATTTTCTATTTGGCAAATAAATTTTAAACCACGCATTATTTAGATGTTCAATTCCACTGTTTTCTAATTTTGTTAATAAAACATTATGATCTATGTTACTAAAATATTATATTACTATGTTAAAATTAGTAATCTACAGTGGTACTAAAATATACTATATTATTAAAGTATTATGATAAAACATTATGATCGACAGTCTCAAAGCCTTACTGAAATCAATAAATAGACCTAATGTATATTTATTTTCATCAAATGATTTAAAGATATCATGAATAAGACAAACAGCTACCGAATTAGTACCTCTTTTTGAGTCCAATATGCTTTACATAAAGGAAATTATTTGCATCTAACACGTAATACAATCTTTTATATATAATATGTTTTGATAAATTTGAAAAGCGTTTTCTGTAATTGGAGACATTAATTCAATCTCCTGATTTTAGTATAGGTATTATCTTAGCAACTTTAGGTTTATCAGGAAAAATTCCTTGTTCTAAAGTTGTAAAAAATCTAAAGCGTAAATTTATGCAAAAGTGGGATTTTCTAATTTTATGCAAAAGCGAAAAATAGTATAAATTTAATTACTGCAATACTGCTTACACCAGCAACTTTGTTACACTTATTTGGTTTAAGTAGGTAAACCAAATAAAGGTAGTGGTGTTGCTTTAAGTATAAACCTTTTCTAATTTGTTAGATATTTAATTGGAAAATCCCTAAGGTACCATTCTCATATCTTTATAAATAATATATTTTTATTTCTTAGAGATACTGAACTGTACAACTTTGTCAATGCTAATACTCTTTATGCTTGTAATTACAGCCTAGAGAAATTTTTTGTTTGTGATTTGGATTTTGATTCCTGGATTTAGCCTAAGTTTATGGTTGCCAACCCAAGTAACTTTTATTTCTTTTAGTTTTTTTTTTTTTTTATTTGCATTCACTCCCAACAAGGCTGCAAGCAACCACTATTAAGTTGGGAGTTACTAGGAAAAAAAAAAGAACAGAGTTATAGAGCAAGGAAATGGTTGACAGAAGACTTGAAAAGTTGAAGGTTGTATGAGTCAGGAAAACATGAAGATGGGAGAGAGTTTCAAAGGATTGAAGTGCGGGCAAAAAAACTAGATGAATAAAAGTTTTTAGAGCATGCAGGGACAGATACAGTAAACGAATGAGACTTAGCTGAATGACGAGTAAAACGAGAATGAATTTTAGTTGATGGAAATAGAGATGATAACTCCTTTTAGCAGTGACCATGATAGTATCTGTAAAAAAGAGAAAGAGATGCAACTTTACGACGATGGGAAAGAGGTTCAAGCTTAGCAGATAGTCCAGGTCCAACAACATTTACAATGCGTTTTTGGACCTTGTCAAGAAGAGAAAGTGAATCGTTAGAAGAACCAGCCCAAATATGACAACAGTATTCCATACAGGGACGAATAAGAGATTTGTAGAAGTAGAGAATGGAATCAGAATTAAGGAAATGGCGAGCACGATAAAGAGAAGCAACCTTAGCAGAAGCTAATTTAGCAATCGATTGTATATATGGTTTTCATGAAAGGTCAGTAGTAAGCGATAATCCAAGAAGACGTAAAGAGGACGACTCAGTAAGAGGATTGCCATTCATTAATATAGGAATGTTGACCATATTACGGTAGTTGTTTGCAGTAAGCAATTGGGTTTTTTTAGAGTTGAAATTCACAAGCCACTGTGAACCCCAATCTATTACTGAAGTGAGATCAGATTCAAGATCAGCTGCTTGTTCTAGGCGATCGAAAAGAGAAGACTTTTTGTCAAGACACGAGTTGGTTTAAAAAATACAAAAAATCCTAAAAAAGGTAATATTAGAGTTTTGGTCTTCAAAAACAGAAAACTACCTTAAGTTACAATTGATAAGGTAAAACTACTTTTATAAGAATCTTAAGTTTGGGGAACACATTAAATATCTATGTAGTAAAACAAAACGTAAATGTTTCGCTTTTTCACGCATAAGAAGTTTTTTATCCGGCGTTAAAAACTTTTGAATTAAAATGAATGCTAACAAAATTAATATATTTTAAAACAACTATATGCTATAGTCAAATTTTATTGAAAATAAATACTGTTTTAACATTATTTGTGCAAATTTATAAACTAATTTCTTTTAAGACAATTACACTTCTCATTTTGTATTCTTACCATATTTTTATCATTTTCATATAGATAGTAACTTCCAATTAAATGCTCATCCGTGGTACTATGTTATAAGACGTCTTGTGGCACCTAAATAATAAATAAATAAAAAATTTACAACTTTATCAGCGATTTTTGATTTCTTGGAAACGCTATATAAAGTGAGTGATTGTGATACTAATATTTAGTTTTATATTGATTTTAGTCACAATATCTTACTGTCACCACACTTACCCAGTCATAAAAGCTGCAAAAGCTTGGAAAGCCTTAATTGTACAAAATGCACCAGATATTATTTTCTGCAAATTTCATCATTTAAGAATTTGGTGAGATGACATCTCAATAACAATTATTGAGATGGTAAAATAAAAATACACATTATGGGCAGATGTTAACTATATCCAGCTACTGACTTGTAGAACGCCTCCAAGGCATAGACTTTAGGGGTAAGCAAAATATTTTGGCTAACCAGCCTCGAACCCCGTCTTTATCTATTAGGCTAGCGCATAGAATTAAGGCAGGTATGGAAACATGTATTTCTTTTTGTCAGTTCCAAGTCAAGACTCATTTTATTCCATGGTTTTATGTTGTACAGCTGCTGTATCTAATCGTAATCTTTTTTTTTTGAAACCCCTTTTTCGTGTCATTAATTTTTCATCTTTTGTATCAATCGCAAACACTTCTTTTATCATCAAAAAAAAACAAGTCTATTGAGAACAAACAGTTATTTATTATTCCAAGAAATTGATGTAAAAAGGTGCTGTCTGATGCACCTTTTTACATCAATTTCTTCCTTCAAATTATTGTCCGAACAGTTTTTTTTCTGTTATTCGCAAGGTTTTTGAGTCTTTGATCAACAAATTTCTCACATCGTATTATTTGTCAAACAACTTACTGTCTGAAAATCAATATGGTTTTCGGTCCTCTTGCTCGACGGCTGATTTAATAACTGCTGTGACTGAAAGATTTATCCTGCATTAGATTAAGGCGAAGAGGCTAGGGTTTTTGCTTTTGACATATCTAAGGCTTTCGGCAAAGATTATAATACTGGTTCATACGGTGTCTCTATGAAAGTTTTTGAAATTCTCAAATTGTTTTTTGAAACTATCAAATCGCTTTATTAAAGTCATCCTCGATGGCCAACACTTTTCTTCATTTTCTGTAACTTCTGGGGTACCTCAAGGTTCTATCCTTGGACCTGTCCTGAATGGCAACCCTCTAACTGAGTCCTTTACTTTACTTCGTGATTTATTGTTTGCTACTAACTTTTCATGGAAACTATATATACAATCCATTGCTAAATTAGCATCTGTTAAGGTTGCGTCTCTTTGTGGTCGCCATTTTCTTACTCCTGACTCCATTCTCTACCTCTACAAATCTCTTATTCGTTCCTGTATGGAATACTATTGTCATATTTGGACAAATCTTTTAGTAATACTCTTTCTTTTCTAGATAAGGTTTAAAAATGCATTGTAAATTTAGTTAGACCCGCACTATCTGCTAAGCTTGAGCCCCTTTCCCACCGTTGCAATGTTGCATCGATTTATCTTATCCATATATTATCTCTTGTTCCATCAACTAAAATTCTTTTTCTCTTGACTCGTCATTCGACAAAGTCTTATTTGTTTACTGTATTTGTAGTGTACCTTCAACCCTTTAGAACTCTCTCCCATCTTCAAGTTTTCCTGACTCATAAAACCGACAACTTTTTAAGACTACTATCAACCGTTTCCTTGCTCTGTAACTCTTTTTTTTATTTCTAGTAACTCCTAACTTAAAAGTGGTTGCAGACTTGTTGGGATTAAATCAAATTAAAAAAAAAATTATTAGTTTATAAATGTAACATTTTATTACGTATATTTTAGTATTTCAAAATATAACATTTTAAATAAAAATCAATAATAGTGAATTGTAATTTAAAAAAATATTTTGAAAATATTTTATAGTAATTTGCAGTTAAAAAAACTAACCATAATTATTTTTTTTTTGTTACATAAAGTAATAGTTTGAATTGTTTTCAAGAAAACAGTATGAAATTAACAGTATGAAATTAACAGTATAAAATTAACAGTATGAAATTAACAGTATGAAATACTGTTAATTTATGTGTTTATCTTTATTAATGTTATGATGAAAGAGTGGATTATCAAACATTTTTTTGACTGTTTTATGCTGTTTCGAAAATATTTGGTCTGGTTCAAGCAAATCATATAATCCTGGTGTTATTGTTTTGTTTCTTTGCAGCTCCTCCTCGTCCACACCGTACATGAGATTAAACTGCCCGTCCATTAGGTCAGCATCAGTTAAATGTATAGAGTTTGATCGCGAAGCCATGGTAAACGTATTAGTTCTCGTTTTCTTTGAGACTTTATAAACCTTATAATTTTTATTCTTACTGCAAGGCTTATATTTTTTAAACAAAAAGATAATTATAAGAAGAACTGCACATAAAATACAGGCAGAAATAATAAGCTTTAAGTTCACTTCTCTACTTCTTTTTGATTTTCCCCATTCTGGTTTTTTCAATACAGAATTCTGTGCAAGAAATTCATTGACATATCTACAAATTTTGCATCCAAACATTTTATCCATTTGAGCGCACTCAACATATAATTCTTCGCAAGTTTTATTAATAGAATATAGCAAAACGTTTTCAGCAAGAACTTCATTTTGCACAACAGCAAAAAATCGCACAATTGTTTTTTGTTGATTTTCGATCATTTTTGATGTTACATTTTCAAATATGTAAAAATTATTGGTTTTGGCTTTTTCTACTGATTCGTAGTTAAGTATAAATGCGTCATTTATTTTGCATTCAACATATTTATCGTAAACTTTTGACTCTAGCCAGGGACTAGGAACTGTAACTTTTTCAAGTAAAAAATTCTCAAAACGCAGCTTCCATAAAGAAACTGCTGTGTCAGGAGACAATACGGCAAATTTGTCTTCAATAAAAAGTGATAAAATTCGATTCTTTGGAACGCATCTAAAGGTTATTTCTGATTTTTTTGAAATTGGATTCGGCACACACTCAAAGTTTTCAGAACATTTATCAAGCGTACAAAACTTTGAATAACGCTGACAACTTGTTCCATAATAGTCCAGTGGACAAGTACACAAAAAGCCGTCGATTTGATCCGTACAATTTCCGTTATAACAAGGATTTTGTTCGCATTCATTAATTTCCTCTTCACAATTATTTCCTTTGTATCCAGGGGCACAGTGACACGAATAATTGTTAAATTTATCCTCACATATGGAATTGTGAAGACATGGTTTCGGAGCGCAGTCATCAATATCGACTGCACAATCAAGACCAGTGAAACCTTTCTTGCATTCGCATGAATAATTCATATGAAGATCAGTACATATACCATCGTTACGACAAGGTGAACATTCAAGTGCATTATTTTTTAAGCAAGCGTTTCTGCTACTAACAAGACAATTTTGACAACTTGGTTTGCAATCATCAATTTGTTGACACACACCCAAATTCATTTCAAATCCGGGGAGACATAAACATTCTCCGGTTGTCTTATTTTTTCTAGCACATTCAGAGTTCGATGTACAGTGCATCATACCACTAACACAAGGATCTGATCGAAGAACAGTTAGTCGAATATATCCAACAGTAGAAAGAGGCGGAATTCCATTGTCACTAACTTTGACAGAAATAGTAAAATCACTAATATCGTTAACATCCAGCTCTTTTACTAACACAAGATCAGAAGAAGAATTGTTGTAATATGAAATGAGAAAATAATTTTTGTAAGTCAAAAGTGAAAACGTAAGCATTTGCACGGAGCCTTCTGGGTTATCAGCCAAAAGCAAACCAATGCTCGAGCCAATTGTGCTGTTTTCTCCAATAAAATGAATATCTGAAATCAAATTATTAACAATATATTTGATGTTAGAAGGAGGCTCGTTCACATCTTGAGCAATTATTTCTAAAGTTCCGTTGTAAACTATTGGTTGGTTTGATGTATCTGAAACCTGTATATTTACAATCACTCGAGAGAATTCTGATGATTCAAAATCAAACATGCTTAGATTCTTTACAACCAAAATATTACCGCTATAAATCTAAAAGAAAACAGTTTAAATAAAAAAATACCTTGCAAAATAAATGTTTCATTAAAATAAATTTTAAATAATTTTAAAAAAAGTCGTTAGAAATTAAAATGTCAATGAAAATATTTTTAACAACAAATTTTTTATTTTAAAATTGCTTTTATAAAGATTTTTAGTTTAACATTTGAAAATAAAAATTAATATCTTCTATATTATTTTATTCTTTATTTACCTTATTTTGTTACTTAAATTAATTCAAGTGGTTTCCTTATTTTCATCTTTAATATACTTATTCAACGCAAGAAACTTAGTCGATTAGAGGTCATGATACAAACCAAAAAATTTACTTGAAAATCCAAGAGCATCCTCCTTTGTGTTTGGTTTTAGGGAAGAGAAAGTATTTTATAAAATATCCAATCATGGTCGTTTTCTTTAGAGATGCAAAATGGCAATGACAAAAATCTACATCTTTTTGGTTAAAGTAAATTTTGCAAACAAAAAATAGGAAACAGGAAACATAAATTTTGCAGACAGAAAAGTTACTTTAAATCTGCACCAAACCGTTTAAGAGACCGCAATTCAACAAAATATTCAAAACAATATTTTTAGAAAAAGTTTTCAGAAAAATATTATGGTAAAGGTTTTTTTATCAAGTTTAATGCATATGGTTTGAAAAAGTTAAATAAATGCCCTCTGAAATGTCAAGTAAAATATATATCTTATTCAAGGCCTGGTTGAGTAAGTTTTTGCAACCCACGCAATTCTCAATTGTGGGTTTTTAAAGTAAAAAATATATTTTGCTGATAAATAACAATTCACACAACAGGTAATTAAACCTAACCTGTTTAAAACATATTGAGCCGATACAAACTAAACATATTCTCTACAGATTATACAAATTGCGACTGTTATCCACAGCATAAATTTGTTATAAATCATTATTTTAACTCGTTAACAAGTGTAGAATATAAAAATAGAGTACATTTATTTTAGAAAAAACATTAACGATGAAATAAGGAGTTTAAGGGAACGGCTGCACTTGAGTATTAACAAAACACTATATTCTAGCAGATGATGTATGTGGTAGGAATAAGGACTATCAAAACTATAATAAATCATGAAAGTGTAATATGAATTCCGTCCATAAAGTAAAATAGTTTTAAGTATAATTTTTTTTTAAAGTATTAATATTTATATAATGCAGAAAATATAAACTTGAAGACTTTAATATTTTTATATTTGTTATTTTGTTCTTTACAATATAAATTACAAAAATATTTTATTATAATTTATATTGTAAAGTACAAACAAATATAAAAATATTAAAGTTTTTATGTTTATACTTGTACAATATAAATTGTTATTATATCTATTAATATTTATTGTATTACTTTGTTATTATATCCATTAATATTTACTATCTTACTTTGTTATTATATCTATTAATATTTACTATCTTACTTTGTTATTATATCTATTAATATTTACTATCTTACTTTGTTATTATATCTATTAATATTTATTCTCTTAACTTATTATTATATCTATTAATATTTACTCTCTCAAAAGATTTCATGATTGCAATTGTAATTGTAATACAATTAATAATGTTTTTTTGTTAGTTTGTTTGTTTAACAATCTTGTAGTCATTTTAAAAATCTGAACCCATAGGAAAACGTTTTTGCTTATAAAATAAAAACAAAAGAAACTTAGGAGATGAAGTGCTAAGTAGATACTTAGTTGTTACTGCTAATAGCAGGTACTTAGTTTTTGCTTCTAATAGAGAGAGTTTTTGTTTCTAATAGAGAATTGTTTAGACTGCTAAAAGTTACTTAATTCAAAATAAAATTAATCTTTAAAAATTAAAAAAAAAACCTGAAACTTCAAATTTGAATCCTCAAGCAAATTATATTTTATTTCTTGACCAACATCTGGATCATCACATTCTAACAGGCCAACTCTTGTTCCCGGAACTACGTTTTCATTCATAAAAATGAAACTTGAATTCGATATGAAAATTTTAGTTGCAGGTTCATTCACATCAATTACAAAGAATTCGAATCTATCTTGGATGCTTAATGGTGGTGTGCCATTGTCATGACAAATCACAATGACTGCAAAAATTTATATAAACTATTTATAGTTTTAAATAGAAAAATAATATATATATATATATATATATATATATATATATATATATATATATATATATATATATATATATATATATATATATATATATATATATTATTTTTCATTTTATTTTTCAGTAACTTACCTGAAATACTTTTTTCTGTCTCATAATTAAGTTTCATTATCTCTGACATTAAAAAAACGAATATTTTTCCGTTTGTTTCATTACTAAAGTAAAACCAATGTTTATTTGTTCCTTGAGCTTCGCATAAATGTGATTGATTCTGATCTTGATCTTCAACAATGAGTTGGGCTACCAATTGATTAAAATTAGCATTTTCAAGAACCGATGAAATATTATAGTTGATGGCTGATGGTTGATCATTGGAATCCAAAATATTAATAGTAAAATTTTGCTAAAAGTACAAACATTTATTATATAAAAATATATAATTTATATATATTAAAGAATAATTACTAATTATTCATTTTTATACTAATTAATAATTATTACAAAAACTTTCATTACTGTTATACTTGTTTATTATTATCATTATTTTATTATATTATTGTTTTATAATACTATTATTTTTACTGTTATATTAATTCATTTAAAATTAAACTAATAAGTGATTTTAACTTTTTAATTGCATTAAATAAATATTTCAAATAAAATAATTACTTTTTTTTAATAAAAAAAAAAAGCAAATTCTCTTCAATCAAGGATGTAAGCAACCATTCATTAAGTTGGGAGCAACCAGAAAACAATGTAGAGAGTTTATAACCAAGTAAGCGATTGACAGAAGACTTAAAAACTGTAAATAGAATGTATCAGGAAAATATGAAGATGGGAGAGACTTTTTTATACAAATACTAAGCTATAATAGGAATATATAATATATACTAAACACAAAATATAGATTAGAAACAATTTTTTTTTGATTAATTAGAAAACACATTAAAAACTTGCCATTATACTTAATTTAGTTTTTACAAAAAGTTAATTATTTTTAAATTTAATTATTATTATTAAAAGTTATGTTTTAGAGCATTATTTAACAATTTAAATAAATCTTAAAAATTAATTAAAAAAAAGTATACAAAATGATGTAAAAAACATTTTCAATTCTTTTAGTTTTTAAAGTATAAAAAGTTATGAAGTAAAAAAAAGTTTATACTTAAAAAACTAAAAAACTTAATGTTAATTACCAAAGTCGGGGACGTGCTTCACCTCCCAGCCCCCGAAATTCAAACCTATAACAAAGACATGATGTTTATACATCAAGTAATTTAAAATAGACTAAACAAGTAAAAAAAAAACAGCTAGTAAAATAATATGCTCTCACAACTAAACACTACATTCAAGTAAAAGCTCAAAACTCACTCTTTAAAGATTAAATTTATTAAGTTTCTATTAAGTTTTCATTTAATATTTTTCCAAAAAAAAAATTTGGGAAATTTAAAATTGTAGATAAGAAAAAAGAAAAATAAAGTGTCCAATCTATTATGCTAGTATTTTTTTAAAATCTGCCTTGTTTTTTTATTTTATCTGAAGTTTATAATTTATTAAACTTAACATAAGTTAAATTTTAAAATTCTTTAAAAAAATTACTATTGTGTTTCTTTGTTGTTTGTACTTTATGTTGTACTTTACGGTATACTTTGTGTTGTACGGTATACTTTGTGCTGTACTGCATATCTTATGTTTTTTATGTACCGTTATGTGAATTTATTTATTTATTTATGCGGTAGTGGTGTAGTGGTAGAGCGCTCGCTTCATAAACGAGTGGTTCCGAGTTCGATCCCCACCATGTCCCTGGTAGTACCGCGCTCAACTCGTTTCTCCGCGCAGCGGTTTTGTTCGTCAAGGTTCGTGTTTCGGAGTTATAGAGTTGAGAGAGGGTTATAGCCACAAAATAAGTAGCCTCCTCGTCTGTAGTGGCCTTCTTGGCCTTGAGGAGGTGAAGTAAAATAAAAAAAAAAATAAAAAAATTGTTGATAACAAAAATGTATACCTTAATAGATAATGGAGGAGAGCCATTATCAAAGCATTCCACAACAATACTAAGAAATGAAATGGTTTCGTAATCTACCTTGTTGGTTAATTTTATGTCAGCTGATCCATTCATTGAAAAAAAATCTAAATTTAAAAAGAACTTTAAGAAAATATATTAAACATTACACATGTTCAAGCAAAATTAGCTTTAAAAATAAATTAAAAGAAAAAAAGAAGAAAATTTAAATAAAAAGATTAAACAATAATAATAATAAAAATAAAATAAAACAGTATTGTCTAATTTTAAAATGGGTCTAACTATACTAATATACTAAAGAACTACTTATCACAAACACTAAAATAATATCGAAATATTGTCACAAAATTATGTCATAAGTTAATTTTTATTTTTAAATGAGAATGTTTGGAATAATAACACTTACTTGCATCATCCAAAATCTTGCAAGTATGGTTTTGATTTGGATCAGGATCACTTATAAATATCGATGTGACAATAGTTCCAGGAAGCTGGCTTTCATAAAATGAAGTTGAAGAAAGAGACAAAGACGTAGGAGCCTCGTTCAGATTATTTATCTAATTAAGCAAATAAAATTAAAATTTACATTCTTAAGAATTAAAAACAAGAATTTTAAAAACAAAAATTAAAGATCACAAAAAATATATTCTCATAATAAAATTTTATATATATTTTAAATAAACAAGTTTGAAAAAAAAATTTTGATTTTGTTTGTAATACAAATAATTAAAAATAATATTAATAACTTAATAATGTAAATAAATATATAGGTAGCACAAAAAATAAAAAACAATTTGGTATAAAAATAACTTTAGAAGCAACAAGCAAAATGTTGATTACAAGCTTCTAATACATAGTCAAACATAGTTATGTTTCTTCATGTATTATTTTGTTTATATCAGGGTTGGCAAAAAAACCCAACCAAAAAAACCCAACCCAAAAAAACCCACCTTAAAAAAACCCAATAAAACCCAAAGAAACCCAAAATATATTTGGGTTTTTTTAAAAATGACCTATTTTACAACTGATAACTCTGATTTTAACACTTATAAATGCTTTATTATCACCAAGTGCAACCTTTATACTGTAATTACTCTTGTAAACACTGTATTTATATACATAATGGTCTTTAGGATATACCCAAAATCGATCAATCTGTTTTTGTAGCAAGTTGGTTATTTATTATTTTTTTAAAACATTTAGCAAGTTATTATAAATGTTATTGAAATATGTATTAAAACATTAAATTAGTTAAATACTTATAAAGGAAATAAAAATCATTCTATTAACTAAATTTCAAGACATTACTAGTTATTTAGTATCTTTATTCTCCTCTCGAATGTCTGTATTTTTTTATATTGGTATTTGATTTTTGATTTTTTAAAGCTTATGTTGTAAACTGCAAAAAAAAAAAAAAAAATACAAAGCCACAAGCAAAATACTATATATAAAAATTAAACTTTATTTACAGTTTAGAAATGGAAAGTTGTCAGGCAAAAAAAAATGCTACAGTTTACTAGATTTGTCCTTCAGTGCATACAACTTTAAAACTTAAAAAAAATTAAGTTATGTGCAAGCAAGCTTGCAACATGTTTGCTCATTCAATGAGAGAACATGTTGAAAACTTGTATGCATTTCACAAAGACAAGATTTGTCGGTAAAAATGACACTCGTGCTCATCTGTCTTTTGAATATTTAACAGGTTTTGAATATTTTGCATCAGCTACAAGTTTACAACATGTACCACCAACAGGGGTGACTATGAACAGCGGGTTGAAAATTAACATCAGTATCAAGTTGCTAAAAGGTGAAGAAACACACACAATAGAGCTATATAATGTGTTACTTTGATTCAGTTTGCAATTTGCATTGCAAAACTGAGCCGGACAAACATCTTCAAGGAAAAAAAAAAACTTGGTGGCGAAGACACTGTAATGGTTCTTTACAAATTTACTTTATACATATTTAGAAACAAAGTTTAGGCAAAAATCCATTTTTTGCCAGTCCAGTTGATCAGGCCGATAACTTTTCCAAGAAGCTAGACAGTATAATGTTCTGATAAAAAAAAATGTAGTGATTAGGCTAGCAGTTTTCTTCTATGATACAAAAATGTTTAAAAAGTGTTCATAGTCATCCTGATTGATAATAACTTATAAGGTTGCAACATCATGTTGCAAACTTGTTGATTACATGTTGTAAACTTGTGCAAAGTAGTTTTTGAACATGTTAGTAAAAAAAACTAGTTTGCAACATTTATATTGTTTTACCAACTTTGAATAACTCAATTGTCATAATTTTTACACTGATTTTTTTTTTTTTTTTGTCAAAGATGTTCTGAACATGTTTTTAATTTAGAGCAATTAATTAACATCATTTATAGTTGATGGAGTCCCTTTTTGCACTATAGGTAAAATGTGCTAGTAGACTAGTAGTAAAACATTTGGCTCGCAACCAGAAGGTTGGGGTTCAAATTACTTCTGCTGAAATTACTCAAAATGTCTCAATCTATTTCTCCACACAGCGCCTTTGTTTAAAAATTTTAGTTGTTAATGTTGTTTGTTTGTAAAAATGGTAATGTTATTATTATATTATTATTATTATTATTATATATTTTTATTTAAACTCAATTACAGTTGAACAACTTTGCCTTTAAAATTACGATTACTTTTACAATTTATAAAATAAATTCAGAAAAAGTTTTTTTTTTTTTTTTTTGTTCTTTTGTTTCCGGTTCCTCTTCCACTGCTTGAGTAGCATATGCCAATGGCATAGCAAGATGGATATATTAGAAGCCAACTTTGTTGAATATGTTGGCCCCTATAATATGAAAGCCTTTACTTCCTTGTCGATTCGCCGCTTTTTTGACAATAAGGTTTGAGTCATCGTTCATTTTAAACATATTAGCCAAAGATGGATGGCACACTCCCGACAATGCCGACATTACTATTTTTGTTGCATGAACCTTTCTTCGCTCCCCCAAGGTGTCAAGCTTTAGTTCTTCCAAAAGGGGAGCTGAATGAGTGTTCCTAGGTTTGTGACATACAATTCGCACACACTGCTTTTGTATAACGTCAAGTCTCTTTAGTTGTGCTTTGGATTGACCAAGGTACAATATGCTGGCATACTCTAGTTGACTTCGTATGAGTCCTGTATACGCAATTTTCAAAAGTTCCCTTGGAAGCCTGACAGATGCTTTTGCCAATATTCCCATACTAGAGTGACATTTTTTAACGGTTGAATCTATTTGTTCTTTGAATTGGAGATGTTGATCTATAGTGACCCCTAATAGCTTCACATGAGTTACTGGTTGAACCTCAATTTCCAATTTTAATGTGTAAGTTATCAGGAAGTTTTTTTCTCGGTGATTTGAAAACTATAAGTTGCGTTTTACTGGAGTTGATGGTGAAACCATAATCAACACAGAACTTATTTGTATCTTCAAATGCTTTGCTTAGTTTCTCAGTGACAACTTCTATTGAGCTGTCTGCAGCTGATAGGGTAATGTCGTCTGCAAATAAATAAGATTCAGTTGTTAATGCTTGTGGAAGTTCTCTCATGTAGATTTTAAATAGTTCAGGACTAAGACCACCACCTTGAGGTACGCCTCTTGTTATCGACTTCCATTGGGTAATCTTATTACCGTTTTTCACCCTCTGAACCCTTCCTTCTAGGTAATTTTGAAATAATTTACCAGCTTTTTGGCTTAGTCCTATTTTAGCAAGCTCATTTAGTAGGTTTTGATGTGGAACACTGTCAAATGCTTTTGTTAAATCTATTAATAGGGTGCCTACAAGTTTTCCTTCATTTAGCGAGCTATACCAGAAGTTAGTTGCTGTTATTAATGCTGTTTCACAGTTGGAGTTTTTCCTGAAGCCAAATTGCTGGATTGGTATTAATATCTTAGCTTCACTATATTCGGATAGTTGTCTGCATATTATTGCATACAATGTTAAGGATTGAGACAAAATATTTTTAAAAAATGAGTTGCTCCCTTGACTGAAATGGTCATTGGAGCAATAGGGAGGTGAATTTATGAAATTGAAAAAAAAATTATTGTACTCATACAATTATAAAAATTTGGTATTTTGATCGATTTTTAAAAAAACCCAAAAAACCCATAAAACCCAAAAAAACCCAATAAAACCCAAAAAAACCCATTTGGGTTAAGTTTTTTTAAAAAACCCTGGGTTTTTTCCAACCCTGGTTTATATAAACAAACAAAATAATACATAAACAAACTTAAAAACAATACTAAATCAGGTGATTTATTAATTACTCCTTTTTTTTTCAAGTTGACAATATATCATAATATAATAAATAACAAAGTTGTAATAAACCAAGTGATACTTACATTAATTGATATATTTTTAGTTAGAGAAAGTGGAGGTTTTCCATCATCGGTAACAGTTACTTCAAGAGTATAAAAAGAAATATTTTCATAATCTAATTGAATATTTGATACCAGATAAAATGGAAACAACAATGCAAATTGACCACCATATGAATTTATTGAAGTTATTGTTAAATTATCAACTATCGTATTCTATAAAAAATATCATAAATAATAATAATGTAATATTAATAATAGTAATAATAAAAGTAAAAATAATAATATTAACAATAACAATAGTAAGAATAGCAGTAATAAGGATAAAAATAATTATAATAATATTATCAATAATAAAAATATTAATAATAACAGTAAAAAATTAATAAATAATAAAAAGTAATATCAAAATTAAAGCATAATAACATAATTTAATGCATATAATTACATAATATATAATTATGTAACAAATTGTTAAATAATAACAATTGTATCAGGCAATGCAAAAATATTTTTCAGTTCTATATTCAGTGCAAGCAAGACAAACATTAATATAACACAAGGCTATTAAAAATTTGCACAAAATTTGAATGTTCAAAACTCACGAATAAATTCGAATATATCTGCAGCTCGAAGTTAAATATATTCACCAGACATTCTTATTTCATAATCTGATACTGATTTTGGCAATTAAAATTATATAAATAAAATGGATGGAATTTAAAAAAATGATAAATAAAAGCTTATTGGAAGCTTCTATTTAGATAACAGAGACAAAGGGAAAACATTTACAGTGCATCATTTTATGCAATTTTTTTTGCATGCAAACATTTTTAATAGCTGTGTAAAACATTTTTAATAGCTGTAATAATAAAAAACTGTAATAATAGCTGTGTAAAACATTTTTAATAGCTGTAATAATAAAAAACTGTAATAATATATTAATAAAAGGTGTAGAAACATTTTTAATAGCTGTATAACTAGAATTGTTGTGTTATTTGTTTCTTTTTTACTGTTAAATTTTTATGGTTACAACTGAATTAGTTATATCTATGGTTACTACAGTTGTAACCATAGATACAACTAATTGTATTTATGGTTACAACTGAAAAACAGTAAAACACAAAACTGGATATAATATTTACCAAGTTATCAGGATCTCTGCAATCAAAAAAAGCTATAACACTTCCAGGTTTGTTATTTTCATCAATTAAAGATGGAGTAAGAGTGATTGAAGGAGCTTCGTTAATGTTTAATACTTGAATGAAGAAGATTCTTGAAATGCTCTTATTTTCAAAATCCAAATCAAAACAAGTAACCTGCAAGCAAACAGCAATCTTACAAGTATTTAAAGTTGGAATTTTCATTAAACTAAATTTTTTTTATATTTATTTGATTAAATAGGATTTGCGTTAACTTGTAACAAAATAAAACTGTAACCCAATGGACAATTAACTGCAACCCTTAAGGGAGTTATAGAGCTTTCTTTCAGCTAATTAAAATGATAAAACAACTTACATTAATTTCATAAAGCATAGTTGTTTCAAAGTCTAAACTTGCAGATTTTACCACCAACTCATGATTGTCATTTATCTAAAGATTTAATGTTTTAAAAATTCATTCAATTATATTAAATAGAAATTTAGAATTTCTAAAACAATAAATTGTTGATTAAGGTGTGACATTAAATTTTCAATTGAAAAAAAAAATTTTATACATATAGTCTTTAGTATTTTTGAGATATTTTACAAACATATAAATATAAACAACAATATTTTAATAAACATACAAAATGTAAATAACATAATTATTTTCCTTTGAACAACCAAATAAAATTTAACCACAAAAAAATTTCTTACCTCAAAAGTAGTGCTTTCAGTGAGATTGCAAAAATGAGAATATTTGTCTGTCATAAAGTTATCTGGGTCAATTACATCAACTGTTCCAACAAATGTACCAACAAGACTATTTTCTTGTACCTTTATAACAAAAAGAAAAGACAAAAGGAGAACTTAGTTAAGAATATTACAAGTATAATAACTTTAGTAATTCTTTAGTATTCTAAAATGATAAAAAATATGAACCGTTTTTTGTGACAGCAAAATATCAGTAGGAAGTCGTAATACATCCTCAATTATTATTGTGATATTCTTCTCAAAGCTCATTTGAGGTGAACCATTATCAGTAACCATAATGGTAACAACATAACTTGAAGAATACCAGTAATTTAATTTTGTAGCTCCTAGCACTAATGCACCACTTGTTGAATCAATTTTAAAAACTGTGTTGTTTATTGGACTAAAGAAAAGTTAAATTAAAAAAAGTAAACAAAATGTAAAACATTTAATTTAAAATTAATGATAAATTAAAATTAAAATTGTATAAAAAAAAATTTATAAAAAAAAAAAGATAAAAAACTTGATAAAATTAAAAATAAAATAAATAAGAGATAAAAATTTAACAAAACAAAACTGTAATAACTTTTCCATATGATATTGAATTTGTAAAAATAAAAAGTTGTTTATAGTTAAACAA